AACCAACAGCCCTACAGATTTGATGCATTATTAAAGTAAACATTTGAATATTGAATCAATCATGAATGTGATGTATTCCCTTATATATCATCTCTCAAAAACATATTAATTAACATTACCTGTCACCAGAGAAAAACACGTTTTCTTGGTTATGTGAACACTAAAGTCAGGGGAATGTTACGTTTTGTTATTTTGCAAACATTTTGGGAGTGTTACTTTTGAATGCTCTCTAACCCATCGCAGACAAACGTCCAGCTAAAATGTTTCAGAAGAAAGTTCCATGAACGATGTGTAAATAATGCTTTTGTGCTAATGTTTAGATAACTTTACATGAGCGTTCTGTTAACGTTAGAACATTTATTCAAATGATTGATATGAATTATTTCTAGCTAAGCAGCTTCAAACTGAGCCTGGTTTAGTTAGTGGTTTTGCTCAAAGGCCCAGCAGTGCTATTGCATTCTTATTTCTTACTGTGATCAATACATGTTAATCATCTAATCCTGTCAATCACAGTGTACTGTACTGATATATATTAATCTCCTTGAGTGTTTTAGCTTGAGAGCGTCGTCAGAGCTGGAGTCGAGCCCAATCTGGTCACATGCATCATTCTGGAGCTTTATATGTGAAATAAGTAAGTCCAGTACAGTGGATAATAACGGCTATAAATAATGCGATGAGAGTCGTCTAACTTCACAAATATCTCATCGAGGGCTTCAGTGCTGGTTTACAGTGTTACAGAGAGACCAAACAGAACAAAACTGGAACCAGATCCTGTTCTGTGGAACTGAAATCATTTATGATTGACAGCATTTACAGGAGCGTCTCATCAGAGCACTCAGAACTGTTTAAAAACATTATAAATAAATAAAAATATATATGAATTAATCTGGATTCACAATAAAGATTATTTTTACATCGTTTCGGCGGAAATCCGTGAAATAATGTTTTTAGTTTTACATTTATGCATTTGTCAGATATTATTACGCAACGTGACACAGAATCATAAATGAATGATTTTGGAAGCAAATGATTATGAAGGTTCATTAAATGTTCATATACATGTTAACATTCATATACCTTCATAAAGCAAGTGTTTTTGTCTTAAACTGTTCTCATCTCAACTGCTGTGATTCTGATTCAGCTGCAGAATCAACATGTCAGGATCTGAATCTAATGCTGCACAGCTGATAAATAAACTGATCCGCTCTCAAATATATCTCACACGTTTGAGTAGAATATGATGCTCAGAGTTTGATACAGCAGTCAAAGCTTTCATACAGACTGACAGACAGCAGAGCCTGGAAATCATCTTACCTTCATCTCGTGAAGAACAGGAAAGGTTCACCGAGCTCCAGCGGTGTGTGTGTGTGTGAGAGAGAGAGCGTGTGTGTGTGTGTGTGTGATTGACAGTTATTTTGTGGTGACGCCCCTCAGACAGCTCACAACTCACTTCCTGTATGAGATTAACATCAGCCTCCTCTGATCATTATCACACACACACACACACACACACACACACACACACACACACACAC